TATTTTACGATTCCTTTTATTGTGAAAACAAAATACACACAAATAAATTTGTTATTGATACCGGATGATGATTGAAGTGGAAATGAAAATTTGTACCGCGGCCAGATTCGAACCAGCGACAACCAGGTTCGCAGTTCGATGCTCTACAGACTGATCTACGAAGTCCGACTGCTGACCAGATCTTCATCTTACTTCACTCACCATGGGTTTTGTCCATAGCTCAGTTGGTAAAGCATCGAGCTGGAAACTCCAAGGTCGCTGGTTCGAATTTGACTGCGGTCCAAATTTTCATCTCACCTTCAATCATCACATACTATTAGTACTAGTCTGCTGAACCATAACTATCTTAGATCGTCAAAATGATAATCATTATGTTGCTTTCGCTCTTTCATTCAAGCAGATATGGATTAAAATGAGAAGTGCTGATTAAACAACCAGCGTGAATACGATCAAGCGGTAGTCATGCATCACAAGTTCAAATGATAGTCAGGCTAAACCGATGGTGACTGAAGTGAGATAAAAATTTTGTCAGTAGTTTGACCTCATAGCTGAGTTTGTAGAGCATCGGGCAGGGATCTTGGTAGTCAATGGTTCATATTCAGCCATGGTCAACATTTTCATTTCACCTTCAGTCATTCATCAGTATCAATACTAGTCTACTGAAACCACGGCTGTCGTTGTAAAGAGAAATATTCTTTCATGGTAGTATTCATCGTGAACTAATATCATTTTGGAGAACCAATGAAAACCTAAGAGTACTGGGTAGCTGTTTCACCCTAGTATGTGACTCTTTCGCTGAAATCTTTATTTTAATTTCTTAATGGGGATAGTTAAATTAATTATATAACTGTGAAGTACAACATCACACTAGTTATATTTCTCACATTTTCACAAAGTGTTTATTTTGATCCAAATAACCGATAATAATATGCTTCAAAGAAACACTGAGTGAAACAGTTTAGAATCTGGTGACAGCTATAAAAGTCTTTTTGAATGTATGTACACTTTGAAGAAAAATATAAGCAGACACTGAATTCGACACTAATGTCAAGTCAGTGCTGCTATGTGGTTTAGGAACTTGGCGTGACATGAAAAGCATTTCCAACAAACTACAGATATTCATCAGCAGCTGCCTACGCTCGATACTGAAGATTTGATGGCCAGAAATAATAAGCAATAAGGAACTCTGACCATTCAACGAACCAACCAACAACCTATCGCCCAACAAATATGCAAAAGGAAGTAGAGATGGATTGAGCATACATTGAGAATAGCGATTAGAGACATCATGAGTCAGGCCCTCGAGTGAAATCCAAAGGGAAAGCGACGACTTGGGGATTTGAGGGTGACGTGGAGGAGATCATGTGAGAAAGAAATGAAAGCTTGTGGGAAGTTGTGGTGCCAGGTTGAAAAGATTGCAGAGAACAGAGTGCAATGGAGGCGTGTTACTGAAGCCCTATGTTCCATTAGTAACTCAAGGGAATAATAATGCTAATAATAGTAATAATAATATACATTCTAACAACTCCTTCAAACTGCGGAAGCCATGGGAATTAATATTTTGATACCTGAACTCTGCATTCAAAAGAAATTTACCCAGTCATTTGTGTTGCAATGGACATAACCTATAAAAACATTTCTATCTCCAAAAACCTCTCTATTTAGTAAAATATGCTGTAAGTCTAATATACTTGCTCCTGGTCTTTATTGATGACTGACGCACAGGGCTTTCAGTGAACAGGATGCTAGTCGTCTGATAAAATAACTTCAGCCAGATGTTTACATGCCTCAAGATGTTTGTTCACAACAGTTTCATTTAGAAGGTTTAGAGGTACACCATTAGTTCTGCTGACAATCTCCAAAGTTTCAGGCAGTATAGCATAGTCTTTTTTCAACCACTTAGGAAAGGATAAAGGGGAATAGTAGAGGAGAATAGGCAAGATGTAGGAGTTCATAAAACAAGAGAAGACGCTGAGTTATACTAGATACTCTCAGCTTCCTAATATAGAAAGTTAGATGGAAGATGATTTTAGAAATTAGTAAGACATAAGAAAACTGGGAAAGACCCAAAGAAAAACACACCAAGATTAATCACACTTGTGACATTCTTCAGTTCACATCCGTCAAAATAACAGGAATCATGTGTTTTAAATAGTTTACGTAAGTGATGTTCACGTCTGAAACCAAAGTTTGCAGTCTCACATTTTGAGGGATTAGGCACAAGACTATTCAGTGAGGACTTTTGTTCAATAGTAGTTAGCAAACCGTTTCGTTGGCAACAAACTACCAAAGAAAAGAGAGGTAGAAGAACTGTTAGCTTATCAGTATATTTGATAACATTGATATTAGCTGAAGAAAGCAATTCATGTAGAAAGAAAGAGAAAAGAACGGCGCCTCAGTAAGTAATGTGGACTGACTATGTGTCTCGGCTAGCCTGTTCGGTAAAATAGGTCTGAGGTGTAGGCTAAAGAGGCACACCTAACATATTTGACAATACGTAGGCGTAGAAATAGCTTATGATTCTGAAATATTCAAGAATGTGATGGGTATACCATTTCTGACTATTTCATATCTATTTAAATATCCCACAATAATCTTTAATAGCAAATGTATAACCCGCTTTTAGGGTAACTAGACGCGGTATTAGGCAATACTTCCAGGCAGTGATAGATAGTGGACAGCATTGGAATCCAGGAGGCGCATTTCATACTATTTGGGATTCGCTGGTCAGCTGGATGTACCTGATTCGCAGTGAGTGTTGTTCCCACCGGGATTCGAACTCACGAGCAATTGCTTCAAACGCCAGTGCGTTCCTCACTACACCACCAAGCCATGATAGCCACTTCTTGTGCGACGGGTACAGTTTTTAGTATAAGGGTTTTTATATGATATTGTCGTTGATTGGACCGAATTGATAGGTCTCACTCACTGGGAAGCATGTACATCCAGCTGACTGGTGAGTCCCAAATGGGACGAAATGCGCATCCTGGATTCCACTGCTGGCCATGATCCATCATTAACATGACTAGAACGCTAGCAGTATTTAGGCATCCGTACAGGAGCCCATATGCCAATAGAGACCGATCAATTCGGTCCAATCAACGACGGTATCATATAAAACCCTTATACTAAATACTTTTAGACATGTGAAATAAAAGTTTATTTTCCACAAAGAATTCGACTGAAACTTCCGAGGGGAGGATGAAAAGTATTGGAAATAATAATTAGTAAATTACATTATCCTGACAGTAGACGAACAACCAGTTACCGTTCCAAGACATATTGCCCAGTCGACAGGAGGATGACTCGATCAGAAGGTTGATCTATAGGAAACCCATGTGGACAGGGTAATATCTTAACTTCCATTGCTATTGCCCAGTTCAATATAAAAGTGGTTTAGTTAGATGCTTATTCAACAGGATAAACCACATCTGCACCGATGACACCAGAGAGAAAGAAACCAACTTACTGATGATAACACCGAAACAGAACTGCTACCCGTTATATTTATCGACAGGTGCAAAATTTATGTACCATTGAAATTACACAGTGTTCCGTTGCTCAGACAAATGTCTACATCTCATTACCATTTAGAGGTGATTCACATAGCTTTTTTGTGAGGACATGACTTAGATCGGCCATCTGTAAAACTTATTATGCAGCCAAGGTCATCACTGTAGAGAAGACAAAGTCCATGTTACAGCACAGACCAAAACAATATATAAACGATTACATCATATCCCACAGTGTTTATCAACTTACATATGTGTGTGTGCACACACATACATAAGGTGGAGTAATCGAGTCATACAGTTAATAATAGTTGAACATATACCTAATTGGCTTTGAAAACAAATGAGCTCAGCAGATCCTATAAGTACAAGTGAAAAACATCCATCTTCGTCTATCGTTAAACAATCCGGCCGCGGTCCAGATTTTCATCTCACCTTTAATCATCACCCAGTACAAATACTAGTCTGACAAACTATGGCTATTTTAGATAGTCAAATCATAATCAATATGATGCTCTCCCTCTCTATTCAGTTTGATTTGGACTTAGGTGAGAAGTCTTGACTAGGCAACCAGTGTGAATACAATCAAACGGTAGTAACTCGTCACAAATTCACATAGTAGTCGGGTAAAACCCTTGATGATTGAAGTGAAATATAATTCTGGTCAGCAGTCGACCTCGTAGATCAGTTGGTAGAGCACCAAGCCAGTAACCCGATGGTTACTGGTTTGAATCCGGCTGCGATTCAAATTTACATCTCATCTTCAATCATCACCCAGTACAAAACTTAGTAAATGCTTAGTTTTCTAGTATTATATCATCATTATCAACATAGGACTAGGCATTACTGTGTAACGGTCCGAGTTGCCACACCTCATATCAGCACATCAAGTAAAAAGGTAGTGAGGTGAAGGATGAGATAAGTGAATGCAGTCAAAAGAAATATAAAGTACGAGAAGAAAGGAAGAGGAGTGACAAAATGGTGAGATTCGGTATAGCGTTGTTAAGATGAGGATAATGTGTGTATACATCTGCGCCACTGACTTCGGTTCTGAGCCATATCACCTAGGGTCTCCAACCACTGGTTCCTCTTGTCCCGTGGACCCCAACTACCTAGTCTGCATCGTCCTACATGGCTTAAACCAACAGTCGGAGACTTCATACATTGATGCCATGTTTTAGTCTGGCCACCTCGGCCTTTTTCCAGCCTGGACCCACCTCAGCCAACATTGTATGACGAGGCAATCGGTGACTAGGCATACGTAGTACGTGTCCCAACCATCTCAGTCGATGAAGGTTCACAACCTCGTCGACTAACTTACCTCTTCTAGTATTATATAAACAAGTTAAACTTATAATTTCAGATTAACCAATTAAAATTAAGTTGACAAAATTATTATTTTATAGGCACAAAGGATATATGATTGGTTAATTTAATTTATAAGATAATTTATAAAAATTTCAGTGAACAGTTAATTTGACTTTATTTATTACCTGTGTCATAATATGAATAATAAAATGAGTATGGATGTAATTAAATAGCCAACAAAAAGGAGTACATGATGGCTTTAATAAATCATTTTATTTTTCATAGTAAGTTAGTTAAACAATTTAATTTCTTTTATTATATTTCATATATTTTAATTGATTTAGTGAATATACTTTAATTAACGAGTTTATTGGTCTCATGAATCTTTTTCATTAATATCTTCAACTGAATTACTTAGCAGATTTTAAGAACATTCTTTTCCAAGAATATCATTACATTTAGATAGTGTAATTAAAGGATGAAGTTTATCAGAACAATGTATGGTTTTTGCTTGGTTATGACTAGCAGAGAACAATCCAGGATGCGCGTTTGGGACTTGTCAACTAGATGTATCTGCACCCAGAGAGTGATATTGTTCCTACTGGGACTTGAAACTAGTACTCATCGCTTCAAACGCCAATATATTATCCACTATACTTCTTGTACAACGGGTATTACTTATTACTATTCATTGACATACATGTAATTCTCCCTTGTTTTATTAGAGAGAACTGTTCAGCATCAATAAGTAGTAATAACTAATACCCAGTCTATATGGGATGGCTGTCGTGCCTCCAATGCATAGTGGATAACGCCTTGGCCTTTGGACCGATGGGTACGAGGTTCGAGTTTCAGTGGGAACAACACTCTGCATTGGCATGGGTCCACGTACATCCAGCTGACCGGTGAGTCCCAAACAAGATGAAGCGCAAGTCGTAGATTAACATCCAGGCAATATGGAGGAATCTGGATAGGAGCCAATATACCAACAGAGGTGGAACAATTCAATCCAATAAAACAACAGAGAATAACAAGTATATCGATAAATAGTAATTTATGATGTATTTATTTGCGTAATACATTTCAAACAATCTGAATACACACTTACTTGTCTAGTCAATTTATATAAAATCTAGAAGTAGTATTCATCATGAAGCACTGGACAGCTGATTCGTCCCAGTATGGGACTCCTCAGCAGTACACACCCACGACCTGGTTAGGGATCGAACTCACGACCTTCAGGTTTCACGGCGAACGCGTTAACCATTCAAAAATACATCATATAAACTTGAAAGATTGGAGGACAAATAGAACAGTTGAGATGATAGGGGATTAAAATTAAGAAAGTTGAGAACGGAAAGGAAGAGTAACATGGTTAATCCTAAACTTGGTAAGACAACAAAATTTGTGAAGGTAGGGGTAGTGCAAGAACAAATCGTTTCGTATGCACAAAGGTGGTTTCATCTTGAAAATGGTTATCGCTTCAGTAAATCTTAGTGTACGTCTCTGACTGTTTTTACATAAAACTTTAAAGCTGCTTAAACTTTAATTTTGTGACCCTTTTCTGTCGATGAAAGAGTCGTTCCTACCCTGTGCTTATCAAAGTTTCATACTCCATCTGTACTTGTTCTTGCACTGTAAACTGCATGACTCGATTACTCCTCCCTATATATGTGTAACCACATGTATATATAAACTTGTGAACGCAGTAGGATGTGACATAATCATCTATAGTATTCAGGTTTGTGGTGAAGTATGTTTTTTCACAGTAATAATCTTAGCTTCTTAATAGTGATTTGGATGGTAGTCTTAGAAACCGTGTACAGACTTGGCTTTCATGAAATCTAACTTTTTCCATAAAAGTTTTGTTCAGTAATGTGATATCTTCATCTATCGTATCTGATGTACAAATATAATGAATCTATTGAACAAGCATTTTGTTAAACTTCGGTTGTGTTGGATCGGACAAAAACTGCACAAATTCAAATGTTAGTACTTATGTAGGCTTTCTGTAGACTGCCCATCTTACTGAACCATCTTCGTGTTAACTCAGTAGTACATTTAAGAATGACAGATGATCACTATTCTTTTTTTCAACCAAAAAGACTAATATGAGTTTGTGCAGTGTTAAGTCTGTTTGGTAAACAAACCATATCCTAATGCTTATCACAAATCGATGTGATGTTATCAACATATCTCTTATATGGATGAACTTTAGCGATAAGATCACTAGCCGATCTTCGATATATGACATAAAAATATCAGCTAGTAGTGGTCCTAAGGGACTACCATAGGTATACCGTCAACTTATCAATAACCTTCACCTTCAAATGTGAAGTGAACTTTGTCAATACACAGCAATAATATTTCTCTCAAGAAAGTTGGATTAATACGGAACAGAAGGTTTCTAAAAGATATGTAATCATAGAGAATGTTATTAGTCTTGAAAACAGCATGTAAATGAATAAATAATTTACATCAAAAGAGTACATAGTCTTGTTTTTGATAGTTATGTTACTAAGATAGTCAACAGGTTGAAAAATATCTTTCAATGAAAACTTACATAATTTGTTTCTCTAACCATTTTGCCAGTCTATGTGTGGTGGAACATTACAGACAATATAAAGCTTAAGGGATTATTGGTTTTATGAATCTTAGTTAATCCATATAAATTAACCATTTCGGATCCTACAGGTTTTGCTAACAGCGTTCATATTCGTTGATGTAAGTTAATTGGAGGCGATCGGCAGGAAGTAGTGGACTTACGTTTGTGCTCTTTGACACTTGTCAGCAAGGCGTATCTCCAACCTCAACTGAACTGATGTCCCACCAGGGTTGTTAAGTGTTGTAGTTGGTGATGTTACCACTGAGCTTTTCGAGTCTCGACTAATTTCGTGTAGGACTAGTTCACATACACTGACTGGAGACGGGATAGCAACCAATTTCATATTATTTATTCCTAAGTGAGGACCGAATTCTGTCGACCATATTTTCGCAATAAGACTACCAAGCTGGGATGCTCAGCATCGTGGTGTACACTGGTAGATTTGTATTAGTTTGAAGCCATGGGCCTAGGTTTCGTGCTTGTTGGCACCCACGATGCTGAGCCTTCTACTTGGTGGCCATATTACAAATATGATCGATAAAGTTCGGTCTGCATTCAGGACTAAACAACATAAAATTGGTTGCTCTCTCATGGGTCTGACAGTGATTACGTCAGATCTCTCCCGTAATTCGTTCAAAGGTTTAAATTTCTGTGAAGTCAAAATCTTCTGTTTCCTCGTTTCTAAACTATGGGATTGATGAACAGTACCGACTAATTTACCCATTAATCAACTTTGAATATCCGAATGTATTGAGACAGAAAAATTCAACTGGTTATAGAGATTTTCAAATTGAGCATCAATATCCAAATGAGAAATTTACATGTGTGGAAGTGTAAACATTAAATCCCAGAGAAAAAGCCTCTTTCTCATGAACTAAAAGTACATCAAAGGATAAATGTATATTTCATAGGATGAACAACACTTTTTATAAAGTTAGATTACAAACAGTTGACATCCATTTAACCGACTATTTTTTAAGTGTTTAAGCTTAATAAATGGTTAGCTGTGGAATCCAAGACGTGTCTTTCTTCCTGTTTGGGACTCGTCAGCTAAATATACCTGGATCCCAGTGATTGATAGTGTTCTCACTAAGGCTTGAACTCAGTACCAATCGGTTCCCATGGCAAAGTTTGGTGTAAAACGCCACTAAGGCATGACAGCTACCTTCTGTTCAATGGATGTCAACAGTTATTTATCGGTACTTTAATAGTGCTAAAAAAATGTTTTAGTTCACTGATACCCATTGAAGCTATTCAAACCACAGAGTAGAATTGTCCAACTGCAGATAGTTTAAACTATAATCTACTGGTTGATGAATATGAAACTGTTATCACAGAATGCAATCAAATTGTAAACAGACATTTCATTGTAGTCAATGGTTTGCATTAAAGCAAAGAATCTTATCAGTAGACCTATTTAAAATGATACCCTGAAGCAATATGAAGATAGTAATTATTTGGTATGTATAGTGCAGTAAAACTGTTCATTACAACACAACCTGAGTAAAGTAAAGTAAGAGTAAGTAAGAGTAAAGTAAAGTATCATCTTTTAGAACAAAATAACAAAATTAGAAATCACTGAAAAGAAAGATTAGAAAAAAACTCACATTGTAATTAGAAATTATATCAATACTATCAAAATACAACATCGAGACATCCATACACCAGCCCAAATGACAATGGAGATCGATCAATTCGGTTCAATCAGCGACGATACCATATGAAAAAAATTATACTAAAACTATACCAGTCGCACAAGAAGTGGCTATCATGGCTCGGTTGTGTAGTGGATAAAGCACTGGCGTTTGAAGCGATCGCTCCTGAGTCCTGTTCCCGGTGGGAACAATATCACTCACTGGATATCACGTACATTCAGCTGAAGGGTCCCAAATAGGAAGAAATACGCATCCGGAATTCCACTGCTAGCCACTATCCATCATTAATACTATCAAAATACGTTTAGCCTTATTACAAAATGGTTTTGAAAGGGTATATTTTACATATATTATGGTGGAGTTGTGGGGATTTGGAAATATTTCAAATTGTTATTCATCGTAAACTGACATCAGTTGGAGGAACAAAGGAAACCTGGAAGCATTGGACAGCTGTTTCGTCTGACCAGTATAAGACTCTTCAGCAATGCGCACCAACGGCCCCACACCATCAGGGATCGAACCCGCGACCTTCAGGTTCCGTGTCCAGCATATCACCATTGAGCTAGACACTGGGTCAGAATCCAATGGTCCATATTTCCAACTTCTGTTAGCGCATGATGCCCGGATGGTCGTGAAGACAGTTACTCAACGATAACATTGGATGGCGGTTGCGCTATGTCGTGACCTAACGGAAGTTGGAAATATGAACCATTAGATTCTGATGCAGTGTCTAGCTCAATGGTAACGTGCTGGTCACGGAACCTGAGGGTCGTGGGTTAGATCTCAGGCTGGTGGGGTCGTTGGTGCTTACTGCTGAGTAGTTCCATACTGGTCAGACGTAAACGCTGTCCAATGCTTCCTGGTTTCCTTTTGTTCCTCCAACTGATTTCAGTCTAAGATGAATAACAACTTGGAATATTTTACATATGACCAACAGTTCAACGAAACTAAATACTCGTCCGTAATTACTTCTTTGTATTCACTTTTTGACATTTTCTAAAGTTGGAATTGTTTCTCTAGTGTC